AGTTCGCAACGATCCACAGTATGGGGTCAACATGATCCTGCGGCTGGCCTCTGAACAGCCCAACCACCGGCCCCGCCTGCAGCACTGCCCCGCGCATAGCGCAGGCCTCCGCCCGCAATGCATAACCGCCAGCTGCTGGGTGAGTTACATGGACGGCTCTCCTATCCCCACTACCATACGGGGGAGGGGTGGGGGGGGGTCCCCAATTCCATTCACCTAGTCTTCCCCATAAAAGATAAAAGGGAAATGGAACCACAAATGGAATTCCAGCATTCACCCCCTCCCCAATTCCATATACAAGGGGGTGGGGATGTTCTCCTCTCACATGCCCAAAGGACCTCGAGAGCAAAGGCCAACCCCTTTCAGAAGTGTCGCCTTCTGGGAATGGTCAAGTGCCCCAACAGGCTCGGCCAGTGCGCTGGAAGTTTTCGATCCCAAAGAAAACCAGGATCGGTTTGATCAGCGAAGCGGCCCAAGGAGAAGTTGTGAATTACTTGGCGAGTTCCCCTGGTCATACTGTGGATGGACGCGAAATCCAGAAATCGCACCACCCAAGAAACCCTGGAATGATTCGATTCCCTTGAAAAATAAAACACAAACAATGGTTTCCCATGGTCTCAAAGCGGTGCGAAATGGATTTCGTCCATCCACAGTATGTGAAGTGGCACTTGCAACCATGGCTTTGGTGGGTAGCCAGGGGCTTTGAGCCAAGTAGTTTTCTCTCCGTCGAGCGCCTAGGGGCTCCGTCGGTGGTTCAGAACCGCAAGCAAATTCATACCATCGCCAGGCCGAGAACTGCGGATAGATGTTGGCAAAGCGAGCGGCTACACAAGACAGGACCAAAAAGAAAAACCGAGAGAGAGAGAGAGACAAACAAAAACAAAGAGAAACAAAGCACAAGTTAAAAAGTGATGGCTTAAACAATATAACAAACACAACATTTGTTGCATCCCCCCCCCCAAGCGGCGGCCCAAGCGGCGGCCCAAGGAAAACCAAAAAGCGGCCGGCCCAAGCGGCCGTGTCCGGCCTTGAAGGGATCCGCCGCGCCCTTGCACCGCCAGATCCGGCCCAGGGGCCTGGTCCTAGCGCCGAAAGCCGTCACAAAAAAAAAAAAAACGCCCCCCAGAACCCGGAAACTTGGTTGCTGCAACGACCCCCTGCAAAAAGTGAATACCTTTTTGTGGGTTTCGTAGAAAACCCAACTTGATGTCAACCAAAAAGTGAAAGTCCAAAGATCCAACCCAATAGCTGTCAAGGAAATAACTTGCTGGTTCTCAGCAGGGGATGAGAAATGGAATGACCCCTACACACCATCGCCCATAGTTTCCTTTCAGCAAATGTAGATAGCTGGGACTCCAACTCCAACACCACCGATCACCGAACCGGGTTGATGGGAAATGGATGGCCTTCCACTTGAAGGGGGGTGGAGGGCTTCCTTTTCTTGATGGTTCGATAGGCAGCCAAAATACCCAAATCAAATTTGAAATCCTGGAAACCTAGGCAGACGTCTGGCGTGATGCAGGGAATTTAGAACAACGAGCTAACATCCATCAGGACATTCTGCAATTCATTCAAGAAGATAAGGCCCATCCCCGGTTTGGCTTTCTTGAACGGAATCCCCTTCCGGTTCATTCCCAACACCCGGTCTCGGTCATATCGCACCAGCAAGACAATCAGCTTCCTTCTAATGGAAACCCCGGAGTGATAACCCCCCCCCCCAATTAGTCATCAACGGAGTCTCCCTGGAAAAAAGGAGGCCCCACTAAGAAGGAGAGCCCCCTAATTATAACAATTACGTGACGGGGGGGGTTAATAATCAGAGGTCGACATTGAAATGGTGGATGGTGGTTTGGAGCTTGCCAGGGGTTTCCTTCCCTCTGGTTCCCACATGCATCTCAAGCCCAACATGCGGCTTCCCCGAGAGTTACCGGAACCCGAAGAAAGGCAAACGAGTCGGTGGGAAAGTTGCCAACTTGCCGCGGCCAGGAAAGATGCGGAGTGCAAGCTTGACCGGTGGGAAGGGAAGTAGGCGAAAAACATATGTGTGTGTGTGTTGTGTGTCTTCGTGTGTCTGCGTGTTTACGTACTTGTGTGTGGTGTGTGTGTGTGTGGTTTTGGTTTGTGTGTGTGTGTGTGTGTGTGGTTTGTGTGTGTGTGGTTTGTGTTTGTGTGTGTGGTTTGTGTTTGTGTTTGTGTTTGTGCTTGTGTTTGTGTTTGTGTTTGTGTTTGTGTTTGTGTTTGTGTTTGCGTGGTTGTGTGTTCGTGTGCATGTGTGCTTGCGTCTGCGTGTTTGTGTGTTTCTGGGTGTGTGTGTGTGTTGTGTGTTTGTGTGTTTGTGTGTTTGTGTGTTTGTGTGTTTGTGTGCTTGCTTGTCTGTTTGTGTGCTTGTGTTTGTCAGTGTTTTTTGAGGGTACCCTTTCAAGGGTGGTATTAAAAGGAAAGAAAGAAGCGGACCTTTCTTGGCCCCTGCCCATTCCGCGACAAGCCCAAATACACTGCCATGTTGGTTTCTCACAAGCCGACGGGCCGACGAGCCAAACCTCGATTGCCCAAATCCGCCGGAAAAATGGAAATACTGTGGATGGACGAAATCCTGCACCACCTAAAAAACCGGCTTCTGATGATTCGCCTGTGAAACCAACAAACAACGGTTTCCCATGGCTTCAACGTGGTGCAGGATTTTGTCCATCCACAGTATGTCCAGTAGTGCTAGCTGCTAGATCTCTTCTGAAACCAATACCGGGGAAAGCAACATTCTTCAGCAAAGGGAACCGCAAGCATTGCAGACCTGAACAGTCAATGCCTCGACTGCCACATGTGCCTGAATCCAGCGGCCTTTTTGCAAGGCAAGAGCACGGAAACGCATGCCAAACTTCCGCGGGCTGCTCAACGGGCCAAAGCCATCAAGTCACAAACTGCCCTCTAAATGGAGGTTTAGAGGGAAGCCCTCTAAAGCTTCCCTCTACAGCTAGTTGTTTTGACCATCTTGGGTCTGGTACTGCAACATGCAACTCAAGCCTGCGTAGGTCAATCTACCCCCTGCTGTGCTTCAAACTCCCGCCCTTTAGCCCTGCCGGGCGCCCCGACACTTCCCGAAAGGAGTCCCACATACCTGGCGCATGCACACGTTTGGACCCAGACACGTTCAGGCAAGCCCGATAGGGTTGGCCAAGCCACTTGCCCACATGGGAACGAGGGAAAAACAAATATCAAGCCCTGCTTGGGCAAGAGGGCGCCCTATTTCGGCCGTCTTTTGGCTTTGAGGAATGCACCTCTATTGATCTTCTAGATTCATTCATCCGGGGACAGCCCAGACCTTGCTCCTGAAACTCGGCACCCATCGAGGCGCCAAAGTAAGTGAGACGGTGTTCCATCCCTTGGTATTAACATCACCTCACCGAAATGGAACATCCCGAAAACCACACTTCGAAGGAAAAATATGGGGAACCCCAAATCAAGCGTAGCATGTCCTGAAACCATGCGACACAGGGCAAGGCCACCCACAAATGAACCCGTGGCCATTTTTGTTGGCCCATTCGGCAGTTGGCCTGCTACAACAGAGCCGCAACCAATGGCTCCTCCACCGGGAAAATGCATTTCGTTCACACCAGGAGGATTTCTCCCATTTCCAAGCCCCGCAAGGGAACAAATACCCTGCGAAGCGGTTTTTTTTTTTGAAGTGTCACACAGCTTCCGAACCTCCCAGCCCACCGCGGCCCCACCGCGGCCTTCATCCTTTACCTCCTGGGCTCCGGGCTCAAGAAGCGCTTTGTCGGGGAGATGTTTGGCCCATCCATGGGGCATCCATTCACCTTTGGGCTTTTTTTTTGGGGGGGCCCATGGTAGGTAACGTGTTTGGGGAACCCCGGTAATGAATCCCCCGTTTAGGGACCTCTAAATATTGTTCGGACTGCTTTCGCCCTCTTGCTGACTGGAAAAATGAGGGATGCACCAGAAGACATACACTTCCCCGTCCTTCTTCACATCATCCAGGGAGTCCATGCCGGAATCAATGCCTCGGCGTGTGTCACAAGGGTTGCTCCCTTATAGAACCGATGCGATCGGCACCAGGGGTGGTAAAATGTCGTGAAAGATGTGCAAGATCGTATCCAAACCTCAGGATCGGCGCTTGGACCCCGCTGGGTCGCTGGAACATCACGGTTGTTTGTTCAGGTTCCAGTTTCTTGACTTGCAGGAGAGTAAAATAGTGCCCCCATGACAACTGCGCCCAAGCACTGCAAGCACGCGCCTCTTTTGCACGCAGATGGACCGCAAATCGTTAACAGGGCACGAGCGCCCCGGGCGAGCTGCGCTGGACTCCCCAAATATGGATGTTCCTGAAGGGGTCCCCCATTGAAGACAAAACCGGATCACAAGTGAACCAACAACATGTAACTAATCTCAACCCCGGATGAATAACCCTTACGGATAAACACGGGGGCCCCCTCCCCCCAACAAAAATCAAACCTGGGTCCCTCCTAGAGAGCAAAACTTGCCGATTAATCCTGAGAGAGTGTCTCTCCGCAATGAACATGGTCATGCTGAACTTGCCTACACATACGTCTGTGGAATCCTGCACACGTTCTTTGCGAGCATTGCCCTGCAATGCTCTTTGCACGCCTGTGACACCGCACGGGGGGCAATCAACGGAACTCCTTCATTGTCCCCGTTAAACATCAACATGAATTGCAATGGAAAAACTGCTCCTACCACCCCCAGAAAAAAAAGACAGGAAATAACAGTACCCCTGAGCGATGCCGTTTCGTGCACACGCCTGCATTTCCTTGCTGCACTGGCATGTGTTTTCCCTTTTCCCCGCAGGTCGCGGCCAGGCAAGACCGCAACATATTTGCTAGCGCAAGCTCATCTGCAATCTCCCCGCGTCAAAGCGCATTTGAGCAACAGCCATTCTTCCACTTGGTTGAGACCCCTGGAAAAAAATAAACATATGTCCAATAGTCACAGATTCCCTTTAAAACCAACAGGGGCAAAATATTCTTGAGCGAATGGACGTTCTTCCCCAGCCACCCCCGCGCAAAACGCAGCGCGGAGCCTCAGGCGCCGCGGGCGCAAGGCATCCCTTTTCTGGATCCGAAGGTCAAAAGACCTCCGGGTCCTCATCAGGCAACTGCCGGTACCCCTTCTGCTTCCTTAGCTGCCCTTGCCAAAGGCTACACCTTTAGTCAAAACGGGACTCAGAAATCCCAGACTCAAGAGTCAAAACCCTGACAAAAGTCTCAACTTCCAAAACCTCTAAGAGTCGAAAAACCTAAACCTCCGAACCTCCTTCACCTCTTTAAAGGTCAACCCGTATCGCTCAAAGCCAAGCCTCGTGAACGCCGTCCCAAACTCCAGCGACCCGGACGAACGCTCGCCGCGCTCGCCGCGCTTGGGCGCTCGGCAGGCGAAGCCCAGGAGGCCGCAGAGGAAGATCAGCAGGGCCAAGCCTCGGAGATCGACGGACGACCTAGAGTCTAGGGTGAAATCGATTCCCTTTAAAACCAACAGTGGAAAATGAAAAAAAAATGCATTTCAGCAAATGGAAGTATAGTCCAGGGTCAAATCAAGCTATGTTTGGTGCCAACAGGAAGCAGCTCCTTTGTTTGTCTTTGGGGTGCCCCCTTGTTGGAGCTATAGTTCGACTTGGTGGTCTTCTATTTGGTTTTTCGACCGCTGGAAACAAATCGAAATATGTCCAGTAGTGAAATCGATTCCCTTTAAAACCAACAGTGGAAAATGAAAAAAAATGCATTTCAGCAAATGGAAGTATAGTCTAGGGTCAAATCAAGCTATAGCTCGCCTTTGAAAGTCCCTTAGGGGTGCCAACAGGAAGAAGCTGCGCTCCTTTTGTTTTCCTTGGGGTGGGATCTTGTTGGAGAAGACCCATCCTGTGGATGGACGCGAAATCCATTTCGCACCGTTCAGAAATCCTGGATGATTCAGATTCCCCTGGCAAAAATACAACTAACAATGGTTTCAACCATTGTTCCTTAGGTGGTGCGAGCGGAATTTTGTCCATCCACAGTATCTCGCCTATGAAGGTCCCTTGGGGATTCCCTAGTTCAGGCTGGTAAACTGTCATTAACAATTATCTTCACCCAACGTTCTCTTCAACAACCACTCATTTCCCCATCGGTTCTTTGAGAAGGAAGGTATGGCTAGAATTACCCTCTTTGTTCTGTTTCCTGGGGGCTCGAAAAGAAGCCACCGATATCAACTTCAAATACTCCCACCACATCGGACAAAATGTTGGTAATAGGGAACCCCCCCCCCCAAATTCTAGACACCCCAAAACCCTTTCTTGAAAGCATTAGGCGGGGTGCCCCTGAATTCATCTTGGTTGAATTTTGAAGGCATTGGCCACAAACAAGTGGATCATGTCGATCAATCCGGTTGAGCGCCCTAGATTTCTCAACCAAACCATGCCTGTCCAGTAGCACCGACTGAAACAAGAGAGGACATAAACAGGAATCAATGACATATGGGTGTTTCTCCAGCGAGGTCCCACCCCACATAAACCAAAAGGAGCTGCTTCCTGTTGGCACCCCGTTAAAGAACCGACCAAGAAGGGATTCACCATGTTGAGGCAAGCCCAAGTCCGGAAACCGGACAACCCATCTTCAGAACCCAGAAGCAAAGCCAACCTTTAGACTACCCTGGGTGAGCCGTTGAATGGGTTCGTTCGCGGATGGTCAAATACCGGACGTGGAAAACAAGCAAGTGATTGTCATGTTGGTGATTGGCATCCGTCGAATAGAACCCCGTTGAACTGGGGCCCCCGACATGTTGTGCGATTTTTCGGCATCACTTGCGCCATGTTGCGAGTTTCCTGAACTCCCCTTCGCGCCAGGAGTATCCAAATATTCAATTCAAGCAATATCTATATACAACAAATAGTTGTTTGAATAGTTCATAAAACTCAAACACCACTTTACAATAACATGTATATACCTATCCTAACACCGCAAACAACACACAACACCACGTCGGCCGCCTCTTCCCCAGCCACGCGCCGGCCGAGGCGCCCCCCAGGGCCAGCGCCAACACCTGCTCCCCGTGCCGCTGCCAGAAGGGCCGCGCCTGCTGGATGCACTGCCCCGCCTCCAGGAAGTACATGGCCTCGCCTCGAAGGCTCGAAGGCTCGACGAAGGCTCGAAGGCTCGCGCGAGTCGAGCGGCTCGGAGGGGGGGGGGGGGGGGGCAACCTGGGTGTGTTTTGCGGGGCCTGGCGCGGATGTGGAAGGCTTCACCGGCTTAGGGATGCCAAACCAGCATTGATTTCTACAGGGTATTTGCCAATCCCCTGGTTTCGCCGGCAGGTTGTAGTTGTTCCTGTCTTTGAGGCACCCCGAAAACCCGTGTTTGGACCTTGCTTTTACCTTTGGGCATGGGCGCAAGAAACCGGTCGAGGGTTAAAAACAAATCGTCCGTTTTTTCTTCTTTTTTTTGGGGGGGGGCCAACCGGTCAAGGGGGGCTTGGTTGGTTGTTTGGCCTTAGGATCTAAGCCATCGCCAACCCCGCCCGGCTGTTGGTGGGCCAGCTAGGCTTGGTGGGAACCCCAGAAAGTTGCCTTGTTAACATGTTCATGCCTCAGTGCCCAGACCTTTCTGGAAATCCGGGAAACCCCAGAAAGTGGCCCAGAAAAGGGAATGTCTCTCCCGGATTTATTCCATCAAGGTCTCCGTTTTGAGTGTAGGGAACCCATCGAACACAGAACGCCAGACCGCTGCAGTGACCCCTAAAAAAGCTCTCATAGAAGCAAACTACCTATGACTCAAAAGCCTCTGCAACTCAGGAAGCTTCATGTGTAAAATCGCGGGTGGTACCACCGAATCGCTATGTTTAGCCTGTCCATGATAGATGGGCCGTGGTCGAAACAACTGCAACCGCAGGACCTAGTCTAGGTGGACCACCTGGAAATCACAAACAAACTGCAAAAAAGCAACGCTTCAAAACAAACAAAGCAGGCATTCAGAACGGGAGGCCCAGTCCATAATGAACAATAAATAAATCTCTATAAAGAGAAGAAACATGCCCTCGCTTGGGAAGCAACAATCCCTGGGTCAAGACAAACCCATATCTGTGGGCAGTCAGAGTTATGTATAATTCATGTATAAAGCTTGAACGGCGTGTAAGCCCCGAAAGCTGTCACAAGCAGGACCAAAACTACAAAGCAAGAAAATAAGAAGGAAACAACACAAAAAAAAAGAGGAACAAAACAAGAAACACAAGCTAAACAAAAAACAAAAACTCCCCCCCCCCTTCCCCCTCCGCACCCGGCCTCCTTGCGGGCACCTCAGGCAGTGGCTCCGGGAGCTGCAGCTGAGACAGCTGCCGGGGCAGCGCTTGCAGCGGCTCTGGCCGAAGTCCGGCCAGTACCCCATGTTGCCTGGCCAAAACCCACCCCATACGAAGATTCAAGCCAGGCGAAGATTCCACCAATGGATTGGTGACTACAAGAAACAGGGGTTCAAATCCCCAAACCACCAACCCAGAGTTGATGCCCTCCAACCAAAGATCACCAGGACCCAAAACGAATCAAGCACTGAGCCAACACATCTGGGTTCCTCGGCCCCCAAGAAGCCCGGGCGCCTTTTGCGCCCCGTGCTTAGGGCTTGAACCAAGGCTGCCGAAAAACGGGGGGAGGGAGGGCGCAAAAAGGGCTTGAACCCAAACCCTTGGCTGGCGGTTGAAGGGGAGCCAAAAAAAAATAGCGGCTCAGTGGTTGGATACCAACCACTAAACCACAATAAACAAAAATTGGAAAAAGGTTTCCCCGCAACAACCATGCACCCGGCTTGAACCCAAGGCGGCCAAAAAAACGGAAGGGGGAAGGGGCCTTGAGGTTTGATTTTTGGGCGCTGGTTTCAAGCGAAACCAAAACAGGGAGCCTTACATTATGCACCTGAACATTGCCTTGTAAATGGTGGTTTCCCTTTATTTTGGTGGAAAAAGCCATCCATCCTAAAGGTGCATCCGGTTCCAAAAAGTCAAACCATGTCTGAAACTGCTTGGCACCTTGTTACAACTCAAACCCCCGGAAACAACGACTCACTTCCTGAGTGGATGGCCCCAAAAAAAATCAGTCCAAACTCTTCATTCACCTCTAAAATGGTCCAAGCCAAAAAAGTTTAAAGTCCTTGAACTCAGGAAGCGAGGAGGATTCCCCACGATGGGCGTCATCGCTCGCTCGCTCACTCGTTTCAAAGCCATGCCGGGGGCACAGAAGCGCACGCAGCCCCGCGACACGTCGAAGAGCGGCTGCTCCCGGCCTCGTGGTTGGCGGCTCGCGGCTCGGTGGTCACTTCTACACTTCCATCTGCTTAAGCTCCCTGGAAAAAATGAGAAAATACGTTCAGTAGTGAAATCGATCCCGTGTAAAACCAAAAAGGGAACGTCAAACATATTCATTTCAGAAAATGGAAGTAAAAGAATGGCTTGCTGAAGGATCCCTTGACCGAATGGAAGTCAATTCCAAAGTTTTAAAAACAACACTCTTGTCCGCTAAAATGCAACCTGACTGAGGGGTCCTGGGGGACGATTTTCTTTCAACGGGATCCGCTGGGAGAAAGCTCCATGCTAGTGGGCAAGAGGATACGTCATAAGCCCCTTCTCAACGCCGCAAGTCCTTTAGTCGTAATGGTCTGGCTGGGACCTGCCGAGAATCATAGGCGATTCATCATTGGCTGGCCTGAGGCTCAGAGGAAGTGAGACACTCCAAGCCCTCCAACCCCTCGCCTGGTTTTCCAGAAGTAAGGCCGGATTCAGGCCGGATGACTTGGTTGACGTTGAAGGGGGAGCACAAAATTATCTCTTAGCAGTTAAGTCGGGTTTTCCCACTAAACCACCATAAGCAAAATGCAAAATGCCTGCCACGACAACCATGCTGACTCCTTTGGCAAAATCAGGGCGGGTCTCCCCACAGCTTTGCTTGAGGTTGGGGCGGGGGTTTAAATTGCGACAAGGGGCGTCGTTTTCTGCGAGCTTTAGTGCAGAACCCAGGGACCAAGAAGGTAACAAAAGGGTATCCGGAGTGGTGGTGTCACGTGCTCCGGCTGCTCACCTAATGATTTCAAGCCTCCGAGGGAATTCTTCATTTGGCCCCAGCTGTTATCCTTTCAGGACCCTCGGGTGCTGTCCTCAACAGCCCAGGAACCTGCTGGAACCGTCCAGAATCGTCGCAGAAAGCTGACCCGAAGCACCCCAGAGCTTTTTTCAGAGAAAAAGCAAATCTGAAAACAGAATTGTTGAACAAACGCCTCATCTCAGGATATTCAAACCATAAATATGTGCTTTATTAAAACCTTGATGAACATTTAGATGTGCCCTAAGGGGGGGGGGAAAAAAAAAAAAAAAAACCACCCACCCCCACCCACCCCCACCCACCCCCACCCACCCCCACCCACCCCCACCCACCCCCACCCACCCCCACCCACCCCCACCCACCCCCAAAACAATTGGATAACGTTATGGAACACCGCCACCCTGGGCATGTAGCACCCAGACCCCCAGAAACAGACAAAAAACAAACCAGACAACCTCAGAGACTCCTTCCATTTAGTTAAGACCCCTGGAAAATTTTAAAAATAGATAGATTCCCTTTAACACCAACAGGGGAGAAAGAAAACTTTTTCGCAAATGGAAGCCGCCCTATTGCAAGACACCCCCCCGAACTGGGCATATACAGACACGAACCCGACAGACTCCGAGCTCGGGCCGTCGGGAGCCCCGAGGGTTCCGAGGCGCTGCACTGCTGGCGGGCCAAGTCCAGGCGATAGTACCCGAAGCGCCCCCCGTCCGCCGAGGTGACCTCCGCGCGCGCGAACGCGCGCGGGTTGACGTTGGAAGGGGAGCAAAAGGATTGAATCTTAGCGGTTCAGTGGTTGGATTCCAACCACTAAACCACAATAAGCAAAAATGCGAAATGTTACAACCATGACTGGGTGGTTTCGGGCGAGGTTCCTGGCGAAAATGAAAAGTGTTTCCCCAAAATCCCAGAAACCCACCCAACTGGGTGGCTTTTGTTGCCTTTAGCAGTACTTGGCTTCCGTTCAGCGAAGGAGCTATATACAGCAGGCGCGGTTTTCCTGTTGCGTCTTGTTGTTCCCTTTGATTTCAACCTATTTCCTGGCTCAACCCCGCAAAATGGCAGCTGACGCTTGACGCTTGACGCCTGTCACCCATCACTTTTGGCCGGATGTCCATGTTCTAGCCTTCCCCACAATAAAATTGAACCGGTGGAGTTCCACTGCCTCATCCCCGATTCCATTTGTTCGTCCCGAAAGGCCGCCCCCTCGTTTCGAAGGCGACTGGTGCGATAGGTAGGGAATGACAACTACTCCGGGTGTTGGGAATGAACGAAAGGAAACCAGAGGGGATCATTCATAGCTGCTGAGACCCCCCCCCCAAAAAAAAAAAAAAAAAAGAACAAGAAAAAACTTCGGTCCCTTAGTTGGCTTACCCGCTTCGACCTCCCGCCTTGAAGCGGAGAGTTCGGCGAAAGCCCATCGGCACCGGGAACTGCAGGTACCTCGAATTCTCCGAACGGCATGGGCTTTCGGTTTTCGGCTCGCCTTGGGAGCCAAAAGGAAACTGATCGTCCCCATGGGTTTTCGGGTGGCCTACTTGCAAGATTGGGCGTCTCGAATGAGAACCCTTGCCAACCCTTGGGATAGTTTGCAAGCCCAAAAGAATGTGAGACTTTCCCAAACACTTGCAAGGAAACCGTTGCCAAACATGGCTTGGTATACCCAGACTCTTTCAAGGTCCCTGTTTGCTGGTGGGAGGAAATTGAAAAGAACTAAATGGGCGGCATCAAATGTCACGGCGTACAGGGCGATCCCAACAAGCGAGATGTTGGAAAGCGGGAAGGAAACCTACCTCAGCCTTTGCCTTCTCCAACCCCAGAACCCTCACCAAGCGCAACTGCTTTAGCGGCGTTTAGCGGGTTCACTGGGCCAAAGGGCCTAAGCATCACCCTGCGCAAGCTGGATTTGTTGTGGCCGGGAAATGGAAACAGCTTGCGGGGTCCGAATCCCTGTTTTGAGACCCCGACCTCACGGCCGGACCCCCGGTTTCCAGGGTGAAAGCAGATGGAACCTGAAAAAGAAGAACCCCGCCCCCTCCCTGCGCCCCAACCCCCCCCAAAAAAAAAGTAATACTCGGTTGCTTTCTGCCCCCCTGCTAAAAGTGAGTAACTTTTAGTGGCTTAATGGGGGAAAAACCCATGAGTTGGCCAAAAGTTAAAGTCCTAACATCCCTTGGCAAAATGCACCAGTCCTAACACCAAAAAAAACAGGTCCCAAACAAAACAAAAGTAACGCAAACCGTAGGGCGAGGCGCTTGTTGGGATACTGAAACTCCCCAAAGGCCTCCTCCCGAAGCCGGCGCAAGGGCGGGCGGTGCAGCTGCTCCGGGTTGGTGTTGTCCAGGCTGGTGATGTTGTCCTGGACAAGGACGGGGTTTAATTTATTTGGCTTCCCCCCAAATGGAGTGAAACCCGAAACTCATGCACTCCCAAAAAGGATGTCCTGGGTTGATTCCCTTTGGGTATGATTTGGCAATACTTGGTTGACGTTGGAAGGGGAGCAAAAATTGAAATCTTAGCAGTTCAGTGGTTGGATTTCAACCACTCAACCACAATAATCAAAAATGTAAGATGCTTCCCAACAACCATGAAATGGGGGGGTGAAAGCCGAAACTCATGCACTCCCAAAAGGATGTCCTGGGTTGATTTTGTTTGGATATGCTTTTCTCAACTATTTCTAAGATATTGTGCCATCCACTTCACTTCACATTGCCCACCTGTTGCGGTTTCCAGCCCCTTCCCCCAGCGCCCAACACGCACCCGGAGGCGCTCGACCCACGGCAAGCCGTCCAACCATGGCTGGGCCAACCACCTGCTCAAGTCGCACAAAAGACCTCTCTTCATATGGGTGTCCTAAAATAGGGGGCCCCAAAACAATGCTGGTGGCACTTTCGTCTTCCTTTTGGACGGGCCCCGCAAAGGGTACCCTCACCATCCAGTCCCCGCCGGCCCCAAAGCCCCAGAGCCCCAAAGGGGCCAAGGCGCCAACGGGCCTGGCCTCCGCCAACTTCACGGGCGCCTCTGCCTCCGCAAGCACTGTCTGGCCCTGGCCGGGGGAAAAAATCCTGGGAGTTGGTCTCGATCATGGTCGCACTTCCCTGAACCTTTGCCACTGACATGGTCAGACCGAAAAGTAAGTCCCACAACTCGCTTGTGAGTCGAGGTTTTCCCAGCCCTTGGGAGAAAGGAATCACGGCGGGTTCTGCCCTGCACATCGTGCTTTCTTTCTCTTTTTTTTTTTTGTGGAAATCCCTCCAATTTCTACGCCCCAGTGGCAAGCAAGGGCTGACATCCTGTGGACCTGAATGAAGTGTAACTGAAGGGGAGCCAAATTTTGCGCAAAGTACGGGAGTCCCTTTAAACCCACTTGGACAGGGTCCAAAATCAAGTTGTTCAGCGAAGGTTTGACAAGTTGGCTTGGGCACCGAGGCAAAACCACCAAGCTGACTTAAATGATCCCGGGACTTTCGGCCGGCGATACTCTGCCTATGGCATTCGAAAGATTCCACCTCTCTTTGTTGGGGTTTAAAAAAAAACAAGCGATTCCAAGGCCCGTCACTAGATCGATTTTCTTATGCCAGGGATTGGAAACAAATTGACGACACTGCGAAATAGATCGATCAACTTGGTGTTCTTGACGTGGTTTTTTTTTGGTTGGATGACCCGAGGTCAACCAACACCTGGAACCCAAAAAACAATCCATGCGTAGGAACGGAAACTCCTGTCTGGGAAATGCCCCCCCCCCAATTTGAGCATCCATCCATCCATCCATCCATCCATCCATCCATCCATCCATCCATCCAACCACCCATCCATCCATCCATCCATCCATCCATCCAACCAACCAACCAACCAACCAACCAACAACCCAGCAAAAAAAAAAAAAAAAACACCCCAGAAAAGCAAAAAAGAAAGAAGAAGAAAACCACCAAGGATCCCCCAACACGAGTCTGCTTAGGCCCGAAATGGCAAACCCTTAATTAAAAAAATGAATATATGTATGCATATATATATATATAAGGGGGGGGGAAGAAAAAAAACGAGCTCCTGGTCCAGCAAGTGCAGCTCCAGTAGCCCGAACTCCGTGCCCACCTCCAAAAAGCAGCGGTAGCCTCGGCTGCGGGGCTTCGGGGTCGACCAGGCGATGCCACGGAAGCGCCAGCTTGGGACGCCAGGGGGAAATTCACGAAAAGGAGCGGTCTTCCATGTACGTTTGAGAACCAACAAAGGGGACTGCAAACAATCTTCAAGGTGGCATCCATCTGAGAACACCCCGCCTTATACCTCTAGGTCCTCCAGATTTGAGAGGTTAGAAGAAGTTGGTACCCGATCTTTTTTCGGTAGTCGATTGTAGCGGGGGAACCCTCCCAACCAAAAAAGGGGTTAAAAAGAGCACTACTGGGGGGACCTAGTTACAAAGGCCTGCCGGGAGCTTCCGGCTGGTACTCTGAAGAAGTGTAAGTCGTAAAAAGAAGGTTTCGCGCGGGAAAAGCGAAAACTGCGAGTGCTCCAGCAATTCAACCAGTTTAGAAAGTCTCCTCCCCAGCAAAGTCCCTTGACTAAGTTCGCCAAATTTGGCGACGGTCCTGCTCGGGCTTGGTTCTTTGCCAGGCCGCGCAGGATGTCCGGCCGGAACTTGGGGTACAAGGTATTGCCCTGCACGATGAGGTGCCTGGCATCCAAAGCGATGCCATCGATGGGTTTTTGTTCGGGCCAGGCACCAGCGCCGGATTCTGGGCCCTTGATGTTTTCTTGTTTTACAAAGGGCTCGCAAAAAGTCGGCCAAGTGATACGCCCCCAGAAACAGCCCAGCAAGCGGGCAGCGCAAAACTCAAACTGCCCCCTAGCTCACACACCTCCAGCTTGATGACCAGTGCCCCCTGAAGAATCGGAACTTTGTGCAGGTTGCTTGGTTGACGTTGGAAGGGAGGCAAAAAAATGAAATGTTAGCGGTTAAGACGGGATTTCCCACTACGATAAGCAAAACTGCAAAATGTTTCCCAACAACAACCATGGTTGGTGGCAAAATCCCACCAACAGTCCAAGGTTCAAGGCCCAACCGAACTGATGCCCAAGAAAGGCATCAAGCGCGAGCTTAGCTTGGCGCTTTGGACCCATAAGCCCCTGAGACCCACTAGCTTGGCTGTTGACCCGGCCAGGAGGATCGAAACTGTTTTGCCGTTGAAACCGGCTGAACCAATGACTAGATCCTGCGGTCCCCTGATGCTTCAATTTTTCAACCACACCTACCTGGCGTTTAATGAAAGCTGTGGCAAAGAGGAAGCCACACCCCTTGGGGTAGAAAGCTGGCATCGCTCGGAGCTATCCTTTCCAATCACCCCGGCATAGCCGACGGGGTTCAAGGTCACGGCCCTTCCGGAAAAGAAGCTATGGGCGTCTCTTGAAAATCGGGGCACTTGGGGTCCTTTTAAACCCACCCCCCCACAAAAAAAAACTAGACCACGGTTGGAACATCGCAAGCGAGGTCGGCCCAACGCTGCAGGATGCGTTCTTTTTCCCTACACTTCGTGAAGCAAGCGCGAGACAGCACCAGGCAAGGTGCTCTGCGCAAACTGGTCGGTGCAAGTTGGTCTGCGCAAGTTGCTCTACGCAAGTTGCACTGTGCAAGTTGCTCTGCGCAAGTTGCTCCGCGCAAGTTGCTCCGGCAAGTTGGTCCCTGCAAGTGGCTCTGTTGCAAATTGCGATCCCTGCAAGTTGCTCTGTGCAAGCTGCTCTGTGCAAGTTGCTCTGTGCAAGTTGCTCTGCGTAAGTTGCTCTGCGCAAGTTGCTCTAGGCAAGGCGCTCTGCGCAAACTGGTCGGTGCAAGTTGGTCTGCGCAAGTTGCTCTGTGCAACTTGCTCTGCGCAAGTTGCTCTGCGCAAGTTGCTGTAAAATGCAAGTTGCATCTTGCGACGCCCGCCCGCGGACCAGGGAGGAATCGAACCCGCGACCCGCCGGTTCCGGGAGCAGGCGCGCGAACCACGAGACACCTCCCGAGGACCAGTTCGAACAACAAAAGTCGCAAAAAACCTTGAGTTTTTGCACCTCGACCACGCCGATTCCCGCAGAGGGTTGCGCGAGCACCGCAGAAATCGCAAAAAACCATGGGTTTTTGCACCTTGACCACGCCGATCCCCGCAGAGGGTCGCGCGAGCAGGTTAGAAATCGCAAAAAACCGGGTTTTTGCACCTCGACCACGCCGATCCCCGCAGAGGGTCGCGCGAGCAGGATAGAAATCGCAAAAAACCATGGGTTTTTGCACCTCGACCACGCCGATCCCCGCAGAGGGTCGCGCGAGCACCGCAGAAATCGCAGAAATCGCAAAAAAAAACATGGGTTTTTGCACCTCGACCACGCCGATCCCCGCAGAGGGTCGCGCGAGCAGGTTAGAAATCGCAAAAAACCATGGGTTTTTGCACCTCGACCACGCCGATCCCCGCAGAGGGTCGCGCGAGCAGGTTAGAAATCGCAAAAAACCATGGTTTTGCACCTCGACCACGCCGATCCCCGCAGAGGGTCGATTTTCGTGTAGTGTCGTCGGCACTACCCCGCCGCCCTAAGAAGAGATTTTAACTCCTCGCAAGTCAATTGCACTTGACTCCTTGCACTTGCAACTTGCACTTGACTCCTTGCTTGTTTCAAGGAGTCATTGCAAGCAGTCATTGCAAGGAGTCATTGCAAGGAGTCATTGCAAGGAGTCATGGCAAGGAGTCATTGCAAGGAGTCATTGCAAGGAGTCATTGCAAGGAGTCATTGCAAGGAGTCATTGCAAGGAGTCATTGCAAGGAGTCATGAGAGCCATTGCAAGTTGCAAGGAGCCAAGTGCATGGAGTCAAGTGCAAGTGCAAGTGCATGGTCAAGTGCAAAGTCAAGTGCAAGTTGCAAGTTGTGCGCAGATGTGCTGAAATGGTCCTTGCAGAGCATAGGCGTCCTTTTCGGGGAAATAGATAGGTTTCCCTGGTGGATGATTAAACCACCAGGTAAACCAGGAATCGGAACCCATCCGTTTTGCTACCGAAACAAGCGAAGGACACCTATGGCCCTGGCGGAAGGATGGCGGAGGTGTCGACAGCCCCAGCTGCTCAACCACTTAAGTTCCAGACCATCTTTTCTCGGTTGCTTCCTGTTCCCTGCTGAAAGGTTGGCTTTTAGTGGTTTAATGGAAAACCCATTAGTTGGCAAAACGTTAAAGTCCTAACATCCAAGAAAATGCACTAAAGCTTTTTGTATCTGGCAGGGCACGACCTGAGATGACCATCCGGAGACTCTTCGACCTTTGCTAGAAACGACCAAGCAATACCAACAAAAAGTTAATTTCACATGCTCCCCACACCCCGATTACCCACAACACCCTACCGCTTTGTCACAAAGCACCATGCCATCAACCCAATCATCAAGTCATCAACCCAACACATGTGCCCCAGGGCCTTCTAGTTGCTACGTAGTTCAATTCTTGGGTGCTGTAGATCCCCCGGGAAAAAGTTTAACTTTTTGCACAACCAACCGAAAATGCCTTCCCCTGCAGCTCCACGTCGAACTTGTACAGCGTCTTCTCCTTGGCTGGGAGCCGGACCATGCACATTGCCCAAAACCCTCAAGCCAGCCAGGCGAAGATTCCACCAAACGTCAACTTCCCTCTGGTTGGTGCTTTGGATTGGTGACTACAAGAAACAGGGGTTCAAATCCCCAAACCACCAACCCAGACCACCAACTTTGGGTTCCCTGAGAGTTGATGCCCTCCAACCAAAGATCACCAGGACCCAAAACGAATCAAGCACTGAGCCAATACATGCTTTTAGAACAGAGTAAAGCACCACAAGCCTTTGAGAACCAACAAACTGCAAGCAATCTTCAAGGTGGCATCCTCCATCTGAGAACACCCCCCCTCCCTGTACCTCTAAGGGTGCCCCTTTTTTTTCTGTAGTCTATTTTGGTAGGGGCACCCTCCCTCAAAAAAGGGTCAAAGGGCACTACTGGCGGACCTGGACCTTCAAACCTCGCCGGAGGCTTTTTGGGCCTCGGCCCCACGAGCTAGAAGGCCGAAGCTGAGAGGTCCTCGGGTTCAAAACCGGTGGGTTCAAGGTAATGTCTTGGTTGACGTTGGGTTTGGGGAGCAAAAAGTCTCAGGTTTTGGCAGTTCTGTGGGTTGGAGTTCAACCACTAAACCACAAGAAGCAAAAATGCAACATGTTGCAACAACAACCATATGTAGGACACATCCCAAACCCTCCTGCCTTTTCTTGGGGATCTAAATCAGCTGGCAAGCGGGTTTTGTGTTAGTGCCGTGCATTTTTCTCTCAGCGGGTGGGGCCAATCCATTTTGCTTGAGCAATGCTCAAACACCTCCAACGCACTTGTTTTCTCTGCGTGAAATCCAAGCTTGCTTCGTGGAAAACTCCAAACCTGTTTTTTTCTAGAAAACGGTTTGGATGTGGCTTTTGTGGAACCACCTGTGTAGGATATCTACAAAGTGTACAAAAAGAGTATGAAAAAAGAACCTGCCGGGTCAAGAACTTTGGTGAAATCCACTTTAAAAGAAGCGCACATCCAAGCCGTTTCTTCTCGAGGAAAGCCGAAAAATGAAGGAAAAAAAAGGGACCGCCAGCTTTACAGAGAAAGAAATGGGGGGTTGGCCAAAAGGTCCCCCCTGAATAGCCAAGTTGCAGCCTTTTTCAGTCACTGCTGGTCTTTCGGGGGGCCAGTGCATGCAAAAAGGCGATGATCCAGGCCTTTCTCTGAGGGGTGATCAAAAATCCCCTTTGCCTGTGGTTCACTAGAAAGGGGGGGCTTGATCAAAAGTTCCCCTCTATCTTCCATATGGTTAAGACCCCCGGGAAAAAAAAAAAAAAAAAAAAACTGGAAAAACACTTAAACAAAATATCTCACGTGGTGAAATTGCTTCCCTTTAAAAACCCACCGGGGAATATGTTTTTTAAAAAAAAAATGAAAAAAAAAGAAAAGAAAGTTCCTTTCAGCCAGTGGAAGTCCTTTTTGGGGCGATCCAAGGTGCCCCTGGGTCCAGCGACACCCGCCGCGAGAAGTCCACCATGGCGCGGGGCGTCTCCTGCGGTCGGAAGGGCTGCGCTCGCTTCACGTGGGGCTTGGGGAGCCACCACCAAGAAAGAAAAAAACAAGGAAAAATAATGGGAGCCACTGAACAACTGAGAAACTAAAATCTCAGATGCTCGCAGCTTGGGTTGGAGTTCAACCACTGAACCGCAACAAGATCAAAACCCCAGTTGTTCAGGGACCCTGGAGAAAAAAAGGGAACCCCTTTTTTGCTTTCCAGAACTAAAGAGTCTACAGTAATTAGAATGGGGTTCGAGGGGTACGTTAAAACCATTAGTTGGTCATGATTATAGGAAATAGTAATTGCTTATCCACCTACATTAGGCTGTTGAAAGGAATGGTGGTTGAAAGGAACTGGGAATCATCCCTCAAGACCCCCCCCCCCAAACGCACCGCCAGGTGCGGTCCATTTTAAGTCGTCCGCAAAAAATGCTAGGAGTGGGGTTTGTTTGGAGAGTTCCCAAAGAAGAAACATGGAAGAAGTTGCTTTCTGGCATTCTGAAACGGTGGGAACAAATCGCTTCCTAAACCGGCTCGAATGGCAGCCGTTGAACTTTTGGTTGGCAAATGTCGTCATCAGTTGAGCGAAGGCCCAGAAAGTGCACACTCTTCGGGCAGGTCATGTGTGCATGTGTGCGTGGTTCTTCTTTGATAAAGCGGATTTGTTGAACCTTAAATGGCCTTCCTCAACATGCGAAAGCGGCCAAAGGGAGGAACACTTCGAACAGGCCCAAGCTTCGAACGAGAGCAGTCTCGGCAGTCTCGGCGGTTCTCCTGGTGGCAGTCCGCCTTGGGGCAGAGATAGATGTTGGTAATGATGGCCTCTCCCAAGGCCGTGGCCTGCACTGCGAAGAACTCCATCTTGAAGTCCATGGTGGCGTTGTATTCCACATCCATGCCTCGGACTTCTGTGTTTTTGGCTGCTCCCACCTCTCGCTTTATGCAAAGAGCTGCCGTGCGTGTACATTAGACCTCATGCGATTCCAAAGGGGCTTCCTACTGTGGATGGTTGCTAAATCCATTTCGCACCACCTAAGAAGCCCAGGTTTCGGATGATCCCCTGTAAATACCAACCAACAATATGTTCACTTCATGGCTTCATTTAGTGGACTAGGAGGATTCCGCCTGCAAAGAACAAGAGGAGCAGACTGGGAAAGGGTTCATAACTTCTGGCACCTGGTTCATTCCAGAGAAGAAATACTTATTCGCTTTCCGCAAAGAGGGGGAACAATTGTCCAATGGAATGTTGAATGTCCCCCAGAGCAAATCCAGAGGATACCTCCCAAAAACGATGAAAGAAGGAATGGCATCACTGCATGGGAAAGAGCAAGGACTCCTCAATTCGTTTTAGGCACGGTTGAAGACCGGGGTGGTGTCAATGGGCTGCTGCTTGTACCGCAGGTACATGACGTCCAGCTCCGGCTCGGGCGCTTCCGCTCCGTGCGTGGCATCGCGCCCGGTGCCGCCCATTGCATGGCCAAGTGGCCAAAGACGTGTGGGGGAAATCCTTCGAGGGACAAGATATGTGTGGGTGTGCGTGTGTGTGCGTGTGCTTGTCTCTAACGCAGCAGCTGTCTTACAGGGTCAGGGACAAGTGGGAGCCTTGCAGGTTAGTCCTGATTGTGGCCTTACGGGTCAGATGTTGCTTACAAATCACCTAGTTGTTGCTTACTTGTTTGGTTGGGAGATGTTTCTGAACGATTTGCTGAAGAAACAGTTCAAACTCCACACTTTTTGGCAGTCAACTCATCTGGTCAGAAAAAGGGACATGATGGGACATCCTTTTTGGGGACAAGTTGTGTATGCTGCCCCTTTCTGGGCGCAAATCCGAAGCCTGATTCCTCCCAACGGAAACCACGAGGATGGGATGTGTTTGCCAGTGCTACATGTTTGTTGCCTTTGGGACAGGTGGGTGCGTGCTGGGGCAAGTGAGTCAGCGTTCCTAAACGGTTCCCTATAGCGTCAATTTCTCCTCGAAGGTATGTGGGCCAAGCAAGCACAACACAGGCACCACATATGAAATAGACTTGTCCCGCAAGGTATGAAGCAGCCCCAGAAAAGGGTGATGTTTAAACTATCCAAAGGGGGATGGGGAAACTGACATGAGCCTCGGCAAGATTCCTTGGGTCCGCAATGATATTGGAGTTTGAGCGAGCCTATAAAACAAACCGACCAGTACCACCAAAACATTGAGAAAGAAACCACAAGCCTTCCAACAAAAGATGTGGGCAAATATCGACTGCTCGCAGGGCTTCCGGGAAAGGCCCTCAGCAAGAAGGGCGTCAGCTTGCCGCGGCTTGGACATTACCCCCACCTTGCGCAAAACAAGCATAGAACCCGAAAGGCACGGGGGTCCCCACCCCCCTGAAATGTCTGAAAGCCGACCCACCCTTCAGCAAGACGAGCCTTCAAATTGGACACTGGGCACTCAAGAACCTCCTCTCCCCTAGCCGCAGATTCAGTTGAAAGCGTGTGTGACAAGGAATCCTCCCTTCGGGCCGCGGATTCCTGTCTTGGGTCCCCAGTAGAAGCCTGGTACATGGCGACAAAGTGAGCCGCATCCAACCAACCGCTCGCATGTTTGTCGTCCAGCAAGGCACCCGAATGGAACAATGGATGGCAGCGATAAATGACATGCACGCCAGGCACCGGCTGGAATGCTTGAACACTTTTGACTACTGGGACAAGTGCAGGACTTTCGCCCATCCCATAGCGTGTTCTTTGAGAACCCTCCCTTAACAAGACAAACACACTCGGCTGATGAGTTGCTAGAAGCGACAGATGCGTTAAGCTTTTTATCATGGTCAGTCCCGCACCTCCTGACTCGCAATCACTTGCCGTTCCAACCCATTGGCAAATCCTTCTTTCAGATGGCCCTGGTGGATGATTAAACCACCAGGAAAGCCAGGAATCGCCATCTATTTTTCTACCAAAAACAACCAAAAAGGACACCTATGGCCACAGCTGCGTGTTGGTGGCCATCGTGCCACGTTTTACCTACTCCCCCAAAGGCTGTCGGGCTATGCCGCGCGGCGCTTCAGGAGGATGTCATCCGACCAGCTCACCTCCTAAGAAAAGTGCAAAAGCTCTGCAAGTTTGGCTTGGGACGAGTCTCGCTGGGCTGCCCTCAGATCCCCCGCTAAAAGTTTAACTTTTAGTGGGTTAAATGCAAACTACAACTAAACACTAAAGGGCGTTTGAGCCACCATGGTTTTCACAACATCATTGTGCTTTCTGCAAGGGGGCCGAATTTGGGTCGGTTTCAATCACTCATAGCGACCTTGTCGACCCATGAATCAACTCGGGTTGATTCAGGTCGAGCCGAGTGTTCACCAAAAGATCTCCGGATGCAAAATCGGCGCGCCCCTCATTGCCACGCAGAGATCAACCTTGGACAATAGCTGAAAAGTCGACAGCTGCCAAGACTGGCTGGCGAGCTCAAAGTGGGGAATTCACTGCCCAGCACCCGCTTGGTAGCGCAGGACAACTGTCAAGACTAGGCCCGACATGTGGGATTCCCTTTAAGGAATTGGAGGCATTGGACAGTTGGCAGGGCATACCGTGGATGAACAAAAGCCTGCACCAGTTGGGAGGGATGAACCACCCGGAAGACTGCCATGAACAATTCAAGAAGTGACTCGCATAAAGTTTGTCCATGAGCAACACTGCCTCCCCCGAATTTTCGGTGCTCCTCTTTGGCCCAGTACATGACGTAGTCCACGATCTGGCGGGCCGATGCGTAACTAACACGACCCCCCAGTTGGGCGGCGTCCGTTTGTCTCCCCTTTGTGATGACCCCAAAGCGGACACCAAACCTCAAAAGAAGGATGTCCACCAACCCCTGCACGCCACTGATCTACTGCGAGCTGAAGCCCAAACCCAAAACTGCCAGAAGACAGGCCCTCTCCAACGTTTTGGGAAAGATGTGTCACTTTTCATTTGAGGGAGCCGGCCGCTGAAAATGACCCCCGTGTGAGATCAAAACAATCACGCTTTACAGGGTTCCAACTTGGCCACTCACAGGCAGGAAGTGGCAACCCGAAGTCCTATTTGCTGCAACCATCAAAGGAACCTTCGTTCTGAGCCGGGCCCTGGGATGGCTTGTTATCTACGTCCAGTTTCCAGGGCGTCTCATTGCGGGGCTCCCGCTTTTTCTCATTCCCGTTCGGCTTCCAGTTTCTAATGAAAATGGGGGGGCCATTCGTTTGGCCCCCGAAAACGGTTCTATTGAGAGTTGGCCCCCGCCAACTCTCAATCGCCCCCAACTCTCATTCTGAAAAAAGCCCCATCCGAATCCACAAAAAGTCCACGAATCCCCCCGCGTCCTGCTCCTCACCCTCTTCCGGAGGCGTCACAAAGACCCGGCCACCCTGCACCTGGCCGACAAAACCCGCGAAGTCGAAACATCCGCGAGGCCGAAATCCTGGGGAGGCCCCACGGAAACTCGGCTGTTTGATTCCCTGCATCGTAGAGCCTTGGCCACATCCGGGGCCCGGGCCGCCCGCGCGTCGGACATCTGAAAGCCCTCCAGCTGGATCTTCCGGGCCTCGTCAGCCGCGCGGCTCAACAACGAAACGTAGCCAAGGGGTTTCGTCGAATCATTGGAACGCCCTGCTTTAAAATCAACAGTCCTGAATACTTTTGAATGGGTAGTTGCTTCGCTACAGTTCAGTGCTGTTGATGGATGAATACGCTTCGCAGCCAGTTGATAGGTGGTTTGCACCATCTATCCACCTCAGACGGGGCACAGACACACAATGTGGATCTTTCTTTTGCCTGAGTGTTTTCTGAATATACCGTTCGGTCCGAAAGGTGAAAGAACATGGTTCCAAGCCCCCCCCCCCCCAACACTTCGCTGTTCCTGCAACCCTGTGCAAGACACAAATTTGGACCGGGAAGCAAAAGGAAAAACCACACCAATTTGCAACCCGCGGTATATCAAACATTCTCAAAACCGTCTCAAATGGCAGGCTAGAAAACAGCTTGGATGCGTTGTTTTTTTGGTTTTGCGTGTTTTCTTCCCGTAGGTTTCTTTCTAGTACTCGTTTAATGCTCATCCACAAAGGCCGCATCCACACCCTGTCCTAGAGGTGGTTCACAGCAAACCCCCCTAAAAAAAGCTTGCCTCCAATTGGTGGTTTTCGGAGCCCAGCGGTTTGGTGGTTAAGGAGGGTTTCCCATTTGCCTCTAAAAGAACAGGGTTCAAATCCGAAAAAACAAACAATTAGGGGTTACCTGAACAAAGTCACGCACCCATTTGGGGGGGGGGGATGAGGGGCGCAGGTTTTTCCAGACTGCCCGGAAATTCAACTTGAGGCTCCGAGCAAAGAAACCCCCGCGGATCCTTCTTTTCCCGCGGGCCTTTTGGATGGCTCTAACCAAAAAAGAAAGAACCGACCACTTCTTCCACATGGGCTTCTCTTCTTAGTGACCCCCCCAAACATGAATTTGGGGTTTCCTTTTGGTTCCCTTCTTCCACTTCCTTTTTAGCCCCTGGATAAAAATTGAGAAAATAGGTTCAGTCGTGAAATCGATCCCTCAGCAAATGGAAGACTTGAAAGTGGGGCCCTCGTCATAAAATTGGATACCGGTGCAAAGACCAGCCCCCGCCTCCAACACTGCTAAAAACCGGACAAACCAACCCCAAAACACCCCCCCAAGAATGAAACCACAAGAAACCAATCTTGAAACACCACCCCCACAAAACCAAGCCCAAAAAAGAGAACACCTTTGAGCCCACCCCCCCGCCCCCCGAAAGAGCAACAAAAAAGCATGCCAAACCACCAAGAAAGGCGGCGCAAAACAGCCCCCCCCCCCAAACCAAGTCCACGCGTAAATTCAAGCCACAAAAACATAGACAAAGGCAAAAATTATTATTTTATTTTTTTTTTTTTAAAAAAAAAAAGCCCAGAACTAACAACCCCCAAAAACAAATCCAATAAACCATCCTTGACAAATCAAACCACAAAAGACAGACCCAAAAGCAACAACGACTCCCTCCAAACAAGCAAAAACCCAACCCCAACAAACCAACCCCAAGAAATCCGACCCCCAGAATCCACCCCCACCCAGAAAAAAAAGAACAAAAAAATGGTTGCACCAGCATTGGCCCATAAACAGTCGAGGCTCAATAAGCCTGTCGACGTGCCTCACGCCCCGTCATGATGCCGCAGACTGTGTGGGCATAATGATGATGAATTGCAGCAGCATAGTGCAGCAGGGTCATGGTAATGTCGGCGGTGGTTTTGCTTACGCAGGCGGCGTCGTGGCAACGCGAGCAGCATGCCGAGCATTAATTAAAACAACGCAGGCAGCACCGCGATGATGCAAACAAGGCTGTGGCCATGTTTGCGGAATCGGATGATCCGGATGGGGCAGGCGATGCATTTTAGTACGGGCAACATCACGAGCACGACGCGAGGACTTCTGCCCACGAGTCCCGAAAGTCTCCGGAAGGCCGTTTTCGACCC